AGCACACTGGGAAAGGCAGGTTTAACACAAAATAAATGGCCATAAGAAAAAAATAATCTTGTTTAGCACGGGGTGTTGCTCTTTACTTCCTGTTTTCCTTCATAAAGTTATGTGCTTTTCTATAGAACAATCTGTAAACAGAGGTGAAGAAAATCCCTCTCCCTGGAGGCAGAATTAAGTGATTATGCATCCAAAATTTACTCAAAATTTTAAAACTTAAGCAAGCACATAGTAGTTCCCATCCACAGCAAGTCTGGCAAACCTCATTTCTCTTTAAGTGGCATTGGCCACTTGGCCAGATCTCTCTGTGTTCAGGCACTGGGGACTGCATTGACCAGGGCACTGACAGTCTGAAACCAGTCTGGATTGGCAACATGCTGGGGACAACTGGGGATAGGAGTGAACAGAAACAACTAGCCTCTGGGACTATGACTCCATTTTAATCACGCAGATCACTCCAAATGTAGGGATGCAGCTCCACAGACCCTCTTACCACAAAAGGCAGTTCTGATCTGATTCTCCTGTCCTCCACAAAAACTACAGGAATTTGAATTTTGTGTTACTTTTAGAAATTTCATCTCAGCTTCACAAAAAACAATCCCTGCAGGCCCCTGCTTTCCAGATCACCAGTCCTTATTGATCTCCAGTTCCCTGGAAAACCTGCCTCAGTCCCAATGTGAGCCAGCAACAGCTGCAGCCTGGCTGAGCAGAAGTCTGGAGAGGTCAGAACCCTCCCCTGGACTGCTGCACTTGGAATGAGATCTAGCTACAAATGCATCTCTGGAAACACCCTCCAAAACGTTCTAGGATCAGACCTTTAAAATGACACCAAAGGGCAACACCTCCAGCACGAATCCTTCCTTGTCTCAGCCCTGGCTTACTGACACACACACAGAGGAAGCCAAGGGACACACAGAGGAAGCCAAGGGTCACACAGGCCCTGCTTGCAGAATTCGTGATCCAAACCCTTGCCTTTCCCTGCACAGCACTGAGGGAAATCTGATGGAGGATTAATAAAGTACCTTTGCTGAGAGCAGTTATCACCCCAGGCCTTCAGGCTTGGCAAGATTTTGTAGTGAACAGACCCAAATTAAATTCCTAAATCTAAATCTCTAACAAGTCTTGTCAGAAAGATACCAGACAGTCACACAGACCACAGGACCAAAAGACTGCACAAGGAATGACAGAAGCTTTTCCATTAATAGCACAAGTTCCTTTTCTCCCTCATCAGTCTGGGACTGTAGGACCGAACCTTTGCAACCAGGAGACAAGAGAGTTGTAATCATCACTTAAACCTCCCAAATGGTGTTATTTCTCAGAGAATTGGGCCAGAACTGAGCTATTTCCATGTGCCTGCAGTGCTTTGGGGAGAGGCAAGACAACATCCCACTTCTGTCTGGAAAAATTTGACGATAATAAAAAGTCATTTCCTGTCTTTCTCTCTGACCCATAACCAAAGCAGCCATACAGGACAACACAGAGTATTTAGGGGAGGCCTGATTCACGTGGGAAAAAATCCCAAACCCTAAAGAAACAAAACCACCCCAAATTTCAAACTGAAACACACTGCTGCCTTAATGGGGGCATATGGCAATACAGCTGGAAAGTATTGCTCAGCTTGTAACTGACACAGACATGTTAACCCTGTGTCCTAGGGTGACTTTATGATGCTTGTATCCCCATTCGTCTGTTTAGCCCAAAAATAAGTCTTGCACCTTTAAGAACCACTGGTTCTGAGAGCGAAGGGAGGGGGAGAGAAGAAGCACACAGTTTGTTTTCAGAAACTGCACTCATTCATCCACATTCTGGCTCCTGGACTGCATTGTCTGCAGACAGACAGACAGACAGCGGGACAGAGCTCTCCTTTGTTGCTTTTAGTTAGTTCCTAGCTAGCTAAGGCAGAAAAGTACTCAGGTGTCCTGGTTCAGAGCAAATTTGGGAGAGAATCCCCAAAGGGGCTCCTCTAGGAGAGCACATTCAATTGGCCCCTCCGCCCAACCAGTCCGGGAGAAACTACCTCCTTGGAGAAAAGTGGAAAAAACCTGTTTATTAAACAATAAAACCTAAACAATATTAAACAATAAAACTCCTTGCCGCTCCAAAAGAGATGACAAACTGAGAAAGTCCCCTCCCCGGGTTGCAGCTGAGCTCACTCAGTCTCTTCTCATTCCCTCCGGTGCTGGAAATGTCACAGGCCAGGCCTGGCCTGGTGGGCCACAGATGCTAGCTAATGGTGCACTTTTGGGTGTTCAGTCCAGAGCAGGTTTCAGGAGGTCCAAAAAAAAAAGGAAAAAAGAAAAAAAAATCACACTCCAGGGAACTTCTTTGCTTCAGCTAGCTAAAACTAACTAAAAGCAAAAGAGAGCTCTGTCCCACTGTCTGTCCATCCGCAGACAACACAGTCCAGGAGCAGGAATGAGGAGGAGTGAGTGCAGTGTCTGAAAAAAACTGCGCGCTTCTTCTCTCCCCCCTTCACTCTCTGGAACAAGTCTTAATGGGGCAAAACTTATTATTCAGCATAAACAGAACAAGGCGATTGGGGATAAAAGCATCATATAGTCAACCCAGGACACCAGGACTGTGGTTTCTCTTTTTCTTAGAACTGTTTAAACCTGCTCTGGACTAAACAACCCGAAGAGCACTGGCAGCTCACACCTGTGGCCCACTGGGCCAGGTCTGGGCTGTGGCATTTCCAGCACCAAAAAGACTGATAAGAGACTGAATCAGCCTAGCTACAGGGCATAAAAGAGACTTTCTGAGTTTGTAATCTCTTTTAGAACAGCAAGAGGTTTTATTGTTTAATAAACTTGTTAATTTTTTGTGCTAGTGAATGCTTTGCCTGTTAAAGAAATAATTTTTCCACTTTTCTCCAAAAAAATATTTTCCAAAACCAATTAAGAAAGGGGCCGCTTAAATCTATTTTCTACAAGAACTCCTTTAGAAGTTTTCTCCCAAATTCACCCCAAACCAAGACACTCTGGTAGGCCACAAACCTTGGCAACACAAAGCAGAACCCTGTGACAGTGTTCACAGGGGGTTTCGGATGAGGAAAGAGACGGAGATCTGACTCCATGTTACAGAAGGCTTGATTTATTATTTTATGATATATATTACATTAAAACTATACTAAAAGAATAGAAGAAAAGGTTTCATTAGAAGGCTAGCTAAGCTAAGAATAGAAAGGAATGATAACAAAGGCAGCTGTCTCGGACTCTGTGTGTGAGCCAGCTGGGCTGTGATTGGCCATTAATTATAAACATCCAAGATGGGCCAATCAAAGATCCACCTGTTGCATTCCACAGCAGCAGATAACCATTGTTTACATTTTGTTCCTGAGGCCTCTCAGCTTCTCAGGAGGAAAAATCCTAAGGAAAGGATTTTTCATAAAAAGATGTCTGCGACAGAACCCCCGAAGGGGAAAGCAAAAGATAATGGTGTGCTTGGTATGTTTTGTTTGAGAGAAATCATGAAAGACTGTACATCCCTGTATGAGTCTGTGCAAAGCTATGATTAAGCAATGTTACTAAGAAACATAAATGTTGTGATTACTGCTATTTTTAGCTATAGCTGAAAAAGTATATATACTGAGCTTTTGGAATGAGTAAATTGGCTTTATGCATGCAAACCATGGAGTCCCTCTCTCCAATCACCCACAGGAGCACACAAAACTCTTAAGTTAGAGTGGAGATTACAGACCAGAAAAAGAGGCAAAAGATGTGCTCTGCTTCAATACACTCTCTGATTGATAATTCCAAAGGAAATTCCCCATGGATCGTAAGCAATCACCTATAATTTTTCCCCCGGGATCATTACTGGTTTGCCTTTCTGTGGAAGTGTTTCAAGCATCCATAGGGTTCCGGATCTTGGTTGTTTATGGCTCATCCTCAAAGGCCCAGACCAAACCCTGCTGCAGCCCCAGTTTCAGGGGAATATTGATACAGTTTATAAACACTATCCTTCCCTGCAACTCAGTCTTTCACTGCGTATCCCTGAAGTGGATTTACTCCATTCTTTGTTCCCAACAGCACCTCACCAGCCCAAATCCCACTTCTCACAGACACAAACTAAACAAAGCTAAGGCAATGGTTCCATCAGCACCTGTGATTCCGAGTTCCCTGTTCCCTGGATTGCTCATGTTATAAATGAGAAGCTTGACTAGGCCAATATTCAAGTAGCAATCAATTTATTAATTAATATGGTAAAGTATGAGCAATACAGCACTGGGTACCGTGGGGGAAGTTTTCCCTCCAACTGCACACCGATAGTTGAGGCTTACAGCTATTTAGAGGGGTACTCATAAGCTTTCTCAGCAGTTTCTATTCCCAATTTTTACGTCACAATTCTATACACTATTGTGATTTAGTTTTTCTCAGGATGTTTCCCAGAAAGGAGTATCCCCAGATGGTGGTGGTCAGGTTTCCGAAAGAAGGAAGAAGTCTCCCAGCTGGTGAGGTCCAGCTCTCCAGATGTGGGTCCACCTTTTGATTGCAAGGATTATAAATCTCATAACAGTGATGTCCAGCTTCCCTTGGTCGAAACTATTAATCCTTGAGTTGATGTTCATCTTCCTTTCTCAAGCTGCTTTTCACTGTTTTGTTAAGGCGTGAGATAAGCGTGTTTCCTTTTTATATATTCTAAATCTATAGTTTCAAAGATCCTTACTAAAGCAATATTCTAAAATTATACTCCAAAAGGTTATTATTGCAAAACTCTTTAAGGCTTAGCTACAAGCAGAAAGTTCCTGTCAAAAAGCAACATCCTTAACGCTTAAATTCAAATGCTCCTAAATCAACTTAAGACTTATAAAGGTTAATTGTGAACAAAGGATAGATTCAAAGGCCTTCTTCCATGCTCTACTTCCTCAGTTATTTATTAGAATTCGTCTTTATAACTGTCCCATGGTCGGTTTCCACACATATCACAATCACAAATACACACATTGCCTGTATGTACCTGACACGAAACACAGCTTTGTATTTCTCACTCATCCAAGCACTCACCAATTCCACCTCGGCCCAGAGATTCAGATCTCTGTCTCCAGGGGGAAACACAACCTGACAGGACACAGCTCTGGCACCACATTTCCTCTTCCTCTCCTCCTTTTTCCAGCAGACCAGGCTGCTGGAAATGGCATTCCTTAGGGAGTTCATCCCAGCAGAGAGGAAAAGAGGAGCCTAAGTGGGGGTACGGGTGGCGGGGTCAGCGGCGCCGGGGGCAGGTGGGAGGCGTGCGGGTGACGCCAGCCAGCAGCGGAGCCAGCTCCGTCCCGGGCGCGCCGCTCCTGCGGGGATCCCCCGGCGCCGCGAGGGCTGAATGAGTGTCGCTGATTTATCTGTAAGGTCCGGGTTTCTTCACTGCTTCTCACAGCTTTTACGGTAGCTGGAACCCCACCTGCTGCACTGGGGAAAGGGAGAGGGGAGGGAAGGGAAGGGAAGGGAAGGGAAGGGAAGGGAAGGGAAGGGAAGGGAAGGGAAGGGAAGGGAAGGGGGAGGGAAGGAGAGGGGAGAGCAGAGGAGAGGAGGAGAGGAGAAGGAGAGGAGAAGAAGAGAATTAAAACCAAGGCCCGGGCAGCCTGAGGGCCGAGCCCCCGGAGCCCATTCCCGGTGCTCCCCGCGCTCCCCGCACTCCCGCCCTGCCCGCGCACACGCGCGCGCTCCCGAGCGAAGGCGGGAGCGGAGCGCACCCTGGTGGGGTCACGAGAGGCGGCAGCGGGACCGTCCGAGCGGCCGGAGCGGGCCGGGGTGAGATGGGCTGGACAGGCCCAGGGCCGCGGGGTGTCCCTCTTCTAGGCTCCCGCGGCTCGTCCTTAGTGCGGGGTGTGGGAGAGTGGGGCAGCTCCGCCCCGTGCCGCCGCCTGCGGAGCGGCTGCAGAAGCCCGAGGAGAGGGGAGGGAAGGGCCGTGAGGGGCATTAAACAAAGGGCTGGAACTGGGCAAAGTGAGGGGACTCTGTGCGAAGAACGTAGGCAATTCCAGACCGCTGCGTGGGTAGAGGTGCTGCTGGCTCCTCTGGTTGGAACCATGGAGTCCCTGAATGGTTTGGCTTGGAAGGAACCTTAAAAGCTCATCCTCTTCCACCCAGCTGCCATGGCCAGAGACACATTTCACTAGACTGGGTTGTTCCAAGCCCCCTCCAACCTGGCCTTGGACACTGCCAAGGGATGGAGCAGCCACAGCTTCTCTGGGCACCCTGTGCCAAGGCCCCTCCATGCTCAAGGGAAAGCATTCCCTTCTAATATCCAACCTTCTTCGTTTAAAACAAGGTGTATTTGAAAACTCTCCTGCTACATTCTTTCTTGTGTTCTGTCAAAAAAAAACCCAAAAAAAAAAACCCAAACCCAAAACAATACAAAACCACCAGTCCCCCTCCTTCCCAGCAATGTGTTAGAAATGCCAATGATGTGAAGAAGCTGTAAAAAGCTGGATTTCACATGATGGTGATGGTAGCTTATGCATCAGAGAAGGAGCTGCTGAACATTAAAGGCACAAGTAAAAACAAAGCTGACAAAATCCTGAAAAGGATTCTGTTCTGAAATTTTAGCCCAAAATATTCCACAAGTTTATTTCCACTGGGTTAAAGAGTGTTAGTGAATTGGGAAGGTTTCCAGAGTACAGTGAAGGTGTGACATGACTTGTGACAGGAAAGGGGCAAAATACACCAGGAGAGGACTGAACTGAAAAGGTGGGGAACAAGGGCAGAGTGTTTCTATAAAACACACAAAAAGGGTGTTGGAGCTTTTTCTTGGAGCAGAATTTCAGTTTTTTTTCTGGGGTACCAACTAGTGTAAGGTCTATAAAGTAAAATGTACATGGAATGATACAGATGCTTCTCCGCAAGGCAGGAAATATTAATTACTGGGGGGTTAACAAGCAGCATGAACTCTTCTGGCACTGCTCAGTTGGGTTGTCCCTTAGGCTGAGGAAGCCAAACTGGTTCCCATGGCTTTCACCACAGCTACAGCATTGCTGCAGTGAAGGTTGGAGGTCATCCAGATCACTGCTGACTCCAAAGAGCCATATAAACTGCTTCAGGGTCATAATTTTATTATTTTTTGTACCTGCTTAACCTCAGTTATTGGGGTGGGGTTTTCCCATGAATGTGATCATTGTACAAAACCACGTAAGACAAGTTCTGGTTGAATGAAAGACCTCTAGGACTGTTCTTACAGAATTACTTTTATTTTAAAAGCTGCATTAATAGTTTTTATGGTCATGATGCAAGAGCCAGAGCAGTCTATTTATGGATGTTTCTGGTTTATTTAAGTCTGTGATGTGTTTAGGGAAAACAACCAGGTGTCATGATCTCCCTAGTCCTCTGGTAATCCAAATATGAAAACAAGTAATATCCAGCTCTTCAGCATCTTCAAAAACACACCTGAACTTCTTATCCACATCATGAAAAACCTCAGAATGACAATCAGTTTTCCTAATTAGTTTCTAATATTTTACCCAAGTTGTTTAACTGAGTCTCTATAAATGTAATATTTTATATGTTGTCTGTTCATAACATGTGACCTTTTAATTTTTATTATTGGTTGTTATTGTCATTTTCCCTTCAGAAGGAATAGAAGTGGGATCCATAACAAGGTTATTTGGGGAATTCCATCCAGGGAAGATGCAGCTGTGCCACAGCGTGGCAGTCACCTGTCGAGTGACTGGTTCACCTCATTGAAATCCAATATTCAGACACCACAGCCTTGGGATATTTGCTAATTTGGGCACTTTCCTTGACTTTCTAAGTGCTTATTACTTTCTAGAAGTTGCTGTTCCATAAAATATTAGACTGGACTTCATTTGATCATTTAGTTGACTACCTAAAATTACCAGCTCAAATTTGAGCACTTGTCATCTTGTGTAGAATCATGGAATCCTGGAATGGTTTGGGTGGGAAGGGAGCTTTAAGGCCATCCAGTTCCATGGGCAGGGACACTTTCCACTATCCTAGGTTGCTCCAAGCTCCATCCAACCTGGCTTTGAATGTTTCCAGGAATGGGGCAGCCACAGCTTCTCTGGGCAACCTGTGCAACAGCTGCAGCACCCCACAGGGAAGAATTTCTTCCCAATATCCCATCTATCTCTGCCCTCTGTCAGCAGGAAGCCATTCCCCCTATTCCTGACACTCCAGGGTGACAGGTACTACAAAAAGGTGTCAGAGATTGGGACCAGGAGTCTTTCCTCTTTCTTTGCCCAGCTAAATGGGACTTTTTGTCTCAATAACCTGGGATGTTATTTACTGTATGAATTCAGTGAGGGCATGTGGGAATACCTGTTATATTATGGATACTGTAGTACATTTTCATTCCTTTCCTTCTTTTGTTCCCCTTTGACTGCAGTGGCGGTGAGGGAAAAGCTGTGTACATCCACAGGGAGGGGACCTTCCATACGGAGCAGTTCCTTGCTGTTGCTGAAAGGTCTGTGAGTGGAAGAAAGGAATATATTAACTCACAGATCAGTTGGAAGATGTTTTCTGGAGGTCCTGGAGATTGATTTGGCAGGTTTTCCTTTTGGAAACCTCTGATGTTGCTGTTCCTCTCCCATCTCTGCCACTCTCTCCCCACAGCTCTCGTGTCATTGTCCCTTGGCACAAGATGATTCTCCTCTCTTTTTGCTACTCAGAGGTAATGGGAGTTTCCCAGGCAGCTGGGGACAGTACTAGCTGGATCCCGCATTCTGCCAGCTGATGGGGGTGACTTAAAGGACAGAGACACCAACAGAGAGAATGGTCTTATTTTACTAGGAATAATAAGGCACCACAACAGTAAAATGATACATTTAATCAAACAATCAGCTTACTATGCGCTTGGTTTTAATGACAAACAAAAATTAGCAAAGTGACACACCTAATCATTATTATACAAGAAAGAGAGAGAATAGTGATTTACAAAGATACATCACCAATTGCCTAAATACTTTAATCACCCAAAGTCTGCAATCGCTGGGGAGCCCTGTTTCACAGAGAGGATCTGGACAACCCTTCCCGGCAACTGGGAAAATCCTATGTGGTGTGTCCACCCATAGCTGAGGTTTCTGAATTTGCCCGTAAAGGGAGTCCAGTTTTTATAGGTCCAAATCAGCAAGTCAAAGTGACTTGATTGTATTTTTAGCTCAGGAATGCCTGGGTCTGATGGCACACTTCCCGACCAGCTAGGGCCAGCGCTTGGCCAGAGCCCAGGCTTTGGCTAGAAAGTTTTCCCCTAAAATATCATACAGACAAGCCTCTACTCATGTAAATTGGGAAAGTTTCTTAAAATGATACATTTCTTTATTTCTTGCAGATAACTACACGTGGTTATGTGAAAGTTTCTAAAGCAGCCATTTTGGTGTTAAACAGCTGGCACAAGTGTCTCAGTCATTTAATTTTAGCTAAATAATACTGCTGGTATACATAGTGACATGTGGAGAGAGACTCTGAAACTCAAAGACAAAATGAGTTTTAAAGTAGGTATGCTTTTATTTGGCCGGATGCACGAGGATATCGCCACAAAAACATGCGTACCCCCCCCTCCCCCCCCCCATACACTCATGTTTCCTTATATCCCCTATAATGTTACATTTACATCAAGTTTCAGAATAGATAATTTCCTGCTCCCCTCCCTCTCTGCGTTGTATGCTAATCTTCTTATCAGTCCTTTGTACCTGCACAGTTGTCTCAGGTGGTCGTCGGGGGTCAGAGGGGATGAAGTAAAGTTGTCTTCCTCAGGGTTGACTTTTTGACCCTACTGCCTTGTGCATGCTTATTGATCTTTTGGCCACTGTCCAAGCCAGGAGTCTAGATTCATCTGGTTTCAGGGGCCCAAGGAGACTCATTATCTCAGTATCCTTGTGTGAAAAACGCGTATTTCATGACTGGCTTTTCGCAAATATTAAAATGAATATTATATGTGTTATGTTAGAAAGTTATGCTGTACTAATTTTCTTAAGTAGTGTGTTAAATATAGTTTTAGGTTATAACATAATGTTAAAATAGCAACTATGCTATGTAAGATACTTTTTAAAAGAGAGGACTCGCACTGAGATAACAGCCCAGGACACCTAAATCTTTCAAAGAAAAAGAATTTATTGCTCTCTTATCAGAAGAGACTAATGTCTTCCTGCTTCACTCAGCCCTGATGATGCCATTAGGATTCAGAGGAAGAAGCTGACACTGACCAGATAGAATCCTTTGTTTGAATGGAATTTATGCATCATGTATGAAGTGTATGAATATGCAACAAGCCGTTGCTTTTAAGGGTTAATCCTCTGTTAATGTGTTCCCTTTTTCGGGCTTATTTTGCCCAGAAAGAGGTACCTGGACTGTCCGTAACTCTTTGTTTTTATTGTC